GAGAGAGGAAGAAAGAAAGGGGTAGAGAGAGAAAGAAAAGAGGGAGAAAGATACAGGGGGAGAGGGACAGAGAGACGGGGAGAAAGAAAGGAGGGGGAGAGAAAGAGACAGGGGGAGAAAGAAAGGAGTGAGGGAGAGGGAGAGAAGACGGGTGGGAGAGAGGGAGAGAAGAGGCAAAGAACAGGGGATAAAGAAAGAGGAGGGAGCAGAGACAGAGACAGATGGGCTCGGAGGCCCCCAGATCTGGCCCCCGGGGGGAGGGGTGGTAGAGGCCATTCCCTCATTGCCTCGGGGGCTCTGTCCTGGGGGGCTGTGAGGCCCCTTCTGGTTGTTGGGTACCTCCCGAGCACATCCTTTCATTTGGCTCCCCAGTGCCTGGCACTTTGGTGGCTAGTGTAGAATTGGATTGGATTCAGACAGCCCCAGTTGTGGGGCGCCTCCAGTGAGAGGGTTGGCCCGGACGGCCCCCGAGACCCCTCCAGCTGTGCTTCTGTGATCCTGAGACCTCTGGCCCAGTGGCCCTCTCCCCGGCTCGTCCCCACTTCTCCCCGGCATCAGGTTTAGAAATGTTCCCCGAGTGGAAGGGACTGGTTCTCCTCACGGCTCCATCCGAGGCCAGGCAGGGGGTCAGGGAGGGGCCCAGCACTGACAGGTTCAGAGATTTAGAGCCAGAAGGGACCTCTGAGGCCATCTGGCCTTATCTTACGGAGGAGGAAACTGAGGCCCAGAGACTTGCCCCAGGTCACCCAGGCCCCAAGTAGGGCTTCCCAAGGCCTGACCAACAAGCCTGTTCCTTGGGGCAGGAGCCAGTAAGAGAGAGAAGCAGTTCCGGGTCCATCGGGGCTTTGGGGACCGGAGAGATGGCGTCACCAGCGCCCGCACCTACTTCTATGCCAACGAGGCCAAGTGTGACCATCACATGGAGAACTTCCTGCGCTGTATCGATGCTTCTGGTGAGTGGTCTGGGCCGTGCTGCCCCCGGCAGAGGCCTCCCCCAGCACCGGGTCTTGCCACGGCCCTGGGAGGTGGAGTGCAGGAATGACCACCTCTCCCTGTCACCTGTGACTTTCAGCAGGTGTCCATCGCTGGAATGGGAGGAGTGGGGACCACAGGGACGGAGTGGGCAGCTCAAACAGGGTAGGACATCAGAGCGAGATGGGACCTGGTCCATCCCATTTTACAGAAGGGGAAACTGAGGCCCAGAGACCCAAACAGTGACTGCCTCATGGTCACACAACCAGTCAGTGTCAGAGCCAGGATCAAAACTGGTTCAAATCAACCAATTTGGCCAATATTTATTAAGTACCTACTGTACATGGAGCTCTGTGCTGGTCTAAAAGAAAACCGGTTTTGAGATGTAGCCTGGGCACTCCTGGAGATGCCACCTGGTGGTGAGCGGGAGCACAGACACATGTACCGTTCCACCACCCAGGACATGGCAAGCCAGGCCCTGACTGAGGATCAGGGAAGGCTGCCTGGAGGAGGCAGAGAAGACGGGCTTTGGATGAAGGAGGAGGAAACAGAGGTTTGGTGGTGGGAGCTACAGGGTGTGCACAAGAGATAGTAGATTTGACTGGAACCTGGAGTAGGAGGGCAGTAATGGGAACGGCAGAAGGAAGGAGCTCGGTGACCCTGCGCCAGCCACTTCCCTGCTGCTCACTTGTTTCCTCATCTGTAAAATGGGGACGATCGCAGCCGTGCCCTTTCAGATCACACCTGTAAAGTGCTTTGCAGACCTTCAAGCGTTCGGTACGTCCGTGCGGGACCCTGATCGTGAGGATTTGTGGAGCAAGAAGGCCCCCTCGGGCCACGTGGGGTGCCCTCTGGATGAGTCTGCAGGAGTTTGCTTCTTGGGAATTCGGGGTGGTTCCTGAGGGCGTTCAGGGTAAGGGCGGTTTGGCCAATTTCCACAGGCTGACGCTCCCCAGGACAAGCTTGGCTCCACGGTCGATCCCAAAACGGCCACCGCAATCGAAGCCCCTGCTGAGGTCAGAGCCTCCCCGAAGGCTCGCTCGGCCACCTCTGCCTCGGTTTCACCATGAAGGGCCGTAAGATCTCTCAGCTCGGCCCCCCAGACCCATCAGATTCACAAGAAGAAGGTCGTGGCCAGACCCTGGAGCTTCAGACTAGAGAGAAGCTGCCGATAGACCGATTGCAGACGATATCAGAGAAGCCTCACCTGCCCGCCGACCTGCATGGACGAGTCAGGAGGTCCCCGAGGCTCCCATTCAATAAGTGCCAAGAGAATCCATTCCAGGCCATTTGGGAGGGAGGGCCCTGGCAGTCGGGGGGGGGGGCCCAGGACAGGCTTTGTGCAGAAGCTTTTCCTGCATTGTGAAGGAAATGGGAATCTGAGAGGCAGAGATGAGGAGGGCGTGCGTTCCAGGCGTAGTGCACAACTTGTGCAAAGGCATGGAGGTGGGAGACAGGAACAGAGAGAAAAGCCAGTTTAGCCAGAGTCCAGAAGGCATAGATAATGAGCCTGCAGTGAGGGGCTTTGAAAGCTAAACAGGGGAGTTGATGCTGGACCCTGGAGACACCAGGGAGCTACCCGAGGTACTGAGGAGGGGAGGGACAGGGTCAGACCTGGGTGCCATGGAACATTCATCTGGGGAGGGCTGTCACCTCCAGAATGACCGCGGGCGAGAAGGCGCTTTACTTCTCTGGACAAAGGTCTCCTGAGCTGCTGGGCCCCACTCCCACCGTGGCACAGGAGGACCTGTGGCCCCACCAGGCTGCATCAGGCAGGGAGGCAGAGGGGGCTGGGGCCAACGGGGCTTCACTGGACGGTCGGGAAACAGCCCAGCTGAGGCCCTACGGGGGTCCGTGTCCGATCAGGCCGACGAGGAAGACTGTAAAAGCTGGTGGTCACAGGGCACATGTTCCTCAGGAGGACACAGGCTGGGCCAGCTTGTGCAGGGTGGGCCTGAGGCCCAGAGGGATGTCACAGGAACAAGAACAGCATGTCTATGGCACCTACTAGGTGCCAGGCTCGCTACACACTTCACACATGTGAGCTCGTTGGATTCTCACAACTTGGAGAGGGCAGTACTTCTATCAGCTCCATTTTACAGATGAAGAAACTAAGGCAGCCTTACTTTGAACTAAGTGACTTGCCCAAGGTCACTTGGTGAATAATCTGAAGCCGAATTTGAATTTAAACCTCCTGACTCCAGCGGTAGTGAGGGAGATGGTGGTGGGAGGCCAGCATCGGCATGTGCCTAGCGCCCAGTAGGCACCTAACCAGTGCTGACCGAGTGGCGATCATGGTGGAGATGGATGGGGCAGCGATAATCCACGTGAGGATTCCTGCTCAGGGAAAGGCGGGACCTTGGATTCGTAGGGCGTCCTCTTCGAAGGACAAAAAGCAGTCCTCTGAGAGGAAGCCTGGCTTCTCCAGGTGGCAGCAGTGAGGCACCCTGGGCAGCGCCCGGAGCTGGCCCAGACAAGGGAAGGACCTTGGCCAAGGCCGTGCCTCCGCAGTGCCCACGCCCCAGGCCCTCCTCCCCCTGAGCCCCATTGGCCCTTTAGGAAAGGGCCCTGATGATGGCCCCTGTTGGCTTCTTGGCAGGCAGCGCCAGCGACGACGGCTTCTGCGCCATCAAGCTCACCGCGCTGGGTCGGCCCCAGTTCTTGGTAAGTGACCCAGCCCCTTGGCATCCCCCCACCCCCGGGCACAGCTGGCACCCACCCACCTTTCCAGAGGCGGTTCGTAGTTTTGTCTTTGTTCCGTATCTCCTTCACCCACGGGGGCGGTGGCGCCCCTCGTAGAGTGTAAGCCCCTTGAGAGCAGGACCTGGGCCTCTGGGGGGCCACATGTGTCTGCTCGTGAGGCTCCATTATCCATCCATGCTGGGCCCTGGGGCCATCCCTGCCCGCGCCCACAGGCCAGGTTGGGGGGAGGTCCTGGGACCCAGTGGGAAGGCGGGGAGGGGAGGGGGCCTGGGGCAGCAGCCCCTTTACCTGAGCCCTGCCCCGCCCCTCTGCAGCTGCAGTTCTCTGAGGTGCTGACCAAGTGGAGGCGGTTCTTCCACCAGATCGCCATCCAGCAGGGCCAGGCCGGGCTTCCGGCCATGGGGACCAAGCTGCAGGTGTCCGAGGTGCAGGTGCGTGGCCAAGCTCTCTGGGGTGGCAGAGGCCGACAGTCCCCTCCATTGGGAGGCCTGGGTTTGAATCCTGCCTGCGCTGGCGGAACGTGGACAGATCCCTCCTTTTCCTCATCCGAAGAAGGAGGGGCTGAACTCTGTGATGCCGTCCAGCTCTAGAACGTCCCATGACTTGGCAGCCTGGGTGCTGGCCTGGGCGGCCCGGGCCTTAAGTGGATGCCAGCACCCATATCCCTCCCTTGGGCTCGAAGCTTCCATCCCCCCACAGGCGGCAGGATCGCCGTATCCTCTGGGAGGAGAGCAGGGCTCAGGCAGAGGCTCCCAAGCTGCCAGGGTGCCAGTGCCCAGCAGCCAGAGAAGCCTGACTGTCCACTCCCAGCCCACCACAAGGGCTGCCAGAGGCCAGCTTGTCCGGCTCTGGTTGGATGACTGAGGAACGCTGGTGGACGCTGCGTGCCGGCCCAGCCGGCTGTGGCCTCAGCTGTGCAGAGCTCAGCCTGGTCATGCCCAGGGATCCAGGAGAGGCAGTCTGGCACAAAGAAAGGGTCGTGGGTGCCAAGCCCGGCTCCTGCACTGATTAGCTGGGTGACCCTGCCCCTCTGAGCCTCAGTTTCCTCCTCTGTAAAATGCAGCTCATCCTCCCTGGCAAGGTTTTGCCTCCAGATGTCTGGGGGACAAGAGATCAGGTGAAGGGATTTCCTGGAGGCCCGGGCTGCAGGCCAGGGTCCTGGGTCCTGGGTCCTGGGCCAGGCCGCACCCCAGCTGGTGAGCTCTGCCTCTTGAGCCTTCAGTCTCTATTTGGATTTTGAGGGTGATACATAGCTGCTAAAACACCATCCCCACTCCCTCTGTCTTCTCCTGAGGCACCTGGTTACAGAGGGCCCCACCCTGCCCGCCTCACCCCTCCCCAGCAGCAGGTCCCTGGGTGCCCCCTTAGGGAGTGGGGTCACCGGCCCATGATCCCCCTGTGCTCATGTTGCAGAAGAGCCTGGAGAGCATGGGCATCACCACCAAGTGCGATATCCAGAGCTGGTTCACAGGGGAGATGCTGGGGGTGTCCGGGTGAGTGGGGCAGAGCTGTGGGGGGCGGAGGGGGCCCACAGGAAACGTGCCCGATTCCTGCCCTCCCTCCCTCAGTGTCCTCCTCTGTAGCCTGGGGAGGGAGCAGTAGGCTTGAGGCCCCTACGCAGAACTCCAGGCAAAGCGCTGGGCTTGGCCTAGAGGGTGAAATGGCCGGGGCTGGAGGGCCTGCGATTACCCCAGCATGAGTGTCTATACTGGGTGCGGCCCCGCCTCACCTTAGCATCAGGGGCGCCTGCTGGTGGGGGCCGGGCTAAGACAAATGCAGCCCCGGTGGCCAGGCGGGGGCTGGGCCAGACGTGGTCCTGAACCTCAGTGTGGCCTGGCCCAGGAGGCCTGAGAAGGGGGACCATGGCCCATGGCCCTGGGTGGGAGAGGAGGGGCAGGGCCCAAGGGGCCACCGTGCCAGTGGTCCGATGGTGGCCCTTCTCTGCTCAGCACCGTGGACTTGCTGGACTGGAACAGCCTCATCGACAGCAGGACCCAGCTGTCCAGACTCCTCCTCGTGCCCAACGTGCAGGTACTGAGGCCAGGGGCCCTCCCCCTCCCCCTCCTCCTCCTCCTCCTCCCCCTCCCCCTCCCTCATCTCCTCCTCCTTCTCTTCCTCCTCCCCTTCCCTCCTTCTCCTCCTGTCCCTCCCCCTCTTCCCCCTCCTCACCCCCCCTCACCTCCCCAACTGTCTCCACTCTCCCTTCTGCAGCTCCCTTCCCCCATACCAGGGCCATGTTGCTATATTGATGAATCCAGGCTCTCCCCATTTGGACGTCCCCTGAAGTAATGCCGCTCTCGACCCCTCCCTACCTGCTGGGCCTGGGTGGGGGCATCCACCCAGTGTGCTGGGCCCTCCCCCAGCTACAGGACCTCTCTGGCGGCACCTCCACCCACTCCCTCACGGGCACTTCTTAAGGTGACCAGCTGCCACCAGGCACCCCGTCCTCTTCAGGGTGACCGTCAGACTTCATTCTTACTTGACTGCGGCCCCACAGGAACACGGGGGTTACATGCAGTGGTCAGCCACAATTCCAAAGTACACTGCCCACCTCCTGATGCAGGAGGCCAGGTGCTTTCTGGCCCCTCGGCCCAGCTGCCAGTCATCCCGGCTGGAGAAAGCAGTGCAAGGCTGCTCCAGGCTGCGGCTACATGCCTGTGGACCAGGCCTGGCACAGACCAAGAGCCCAGGGCCGCTCCAGGGGCCTGGCCAGCAGGGATCAATGGGGACTTCACACACACACACACACACACACACACACACATGCGTGCGCACATACACACGCACACACACACACACACACGTATGTCCCTGAAAGGTGCCAGTAGCTACTGAGGCCCCGCTCAGGCCTCCTGGGAGGGCTCTGTCCCTCCAATCTGAAATCACCCCTGATTTGGACCCCTGTGGATCCTGACGGGACAGAAGGATCGCAGGCCTTGGAATCAGAAGGCCTGGGCATCAGTCACCTCCTTCCTGAGGAGCAGCCTTGCCCCTTTCTGGGCCTGTGCTGTGGGGCAGGGTAGACTCCATCAACTGAGTGTGGAGGCACTCATCGGGCATTTATTAAGCACCTACTTGGTGCCAGGTGTTGGGCTAAGCACTGAGAAGAGCAGAAAGTGATGCCTGCCCTGGAGGGGCTCCCAGGGTAACGGAGGCCATGCCAGCCAGACAAAGCGAGTCTGAAAGCAGATGGCTTCAGCAGCTACAGGAACCAGGGAAGGCACCTGCAGAAGGGACACATTGAGCTGACCAGGGAAACAAAAAGCAGAGTCAGAGACTGGGTTCAGATCCTGCCTCTGACACTTTAGTCCCTTTGTGAACATTAGGAAATCTCTTTGCCTCCCTGGGCCTCAGTTTCCTCATCTGTAAAATGGAGGGATTAGACTCATGACCCTTGATATCCCTTCCAGGCCTGGATCTATGATCCTATCCTGGCCACAGCAGTCAGTGGGGTTTGGGGAAAATTGTTGCATTCCTCGTTTTGGCTGATTGCTAACAGTCACGCAACCACACAAAAATTACTCAGCTTCTGAGCCTCAGTTTCCCCTTTTGTAAAAGGGGTTGGGGATGCTATTTGCCCTCACCCCAGGCTCACAGGCCTCAGTTCAGTGCCTACTGGGAGCAGGGAAGACGGAGACAAATGTGAATTGGCCCCTGCGTCCTCCTGGGTTGAGGGTAAGGACGCCAGGAGGCATTTGGCCTGGTCCTGCAGTGCCGCTTGTGACCACTGGAGGCAGCCTAGAGCAGCTGATGGGGATGGAGAAAGGGATGCCTGGACCACTCTGGCTGGGGATGATGGGCTGGGCCCGGACGCTGGAGACTCTGGGGGCGGCGCAACTCGGTCCTCCCAGCCTGGGAAGCCGCCCCACAGCCCTCTAGGGACCTCCTGGGTTCTAGAAACATGCCCCACCCCCGACTCCCACTGGAGCAGGCACCTCTGCCTGGCCCCACCTGCTTGCAGGCAGCCAGGCCTCAGTTTCCCCATCTCTCCAGGAGGTGCAGAGGGAGGGAAAAGCAAATTTGCAGTCGGGAGGCATCCTGCCACGTGACCTTGGGCAAGTCCCTCCTCTCCCTGCCTGGGCTCCACAGGGGCAGCCGTCCTTACCCCCGCTGTCCTCCCTGCAGACTGGCCAGCTGGAGCCCCTCCTGTCTCACTTCACAGAGGAGGAAGACCTTCAGATGAAGAGGATGCTGCAGAGGATAGATGTCTTAGCCAAGGTCAGGCTCTGCTGACCACCCCATAGGGGGGAGGGGAGAGGTCAAGGTGTTTAGGGCCCAAAGAACTGAATTCGAATCCTGCCTCCACACTTCCCAGATGTGTCTGAACAGCATTGTCCTTCCCCATCCAAGCCTCAGTTTCCCCATCTGTCACTTGAGTGTTGAACTTGATGATCTCTGAAGGAGGGGGCAATGGGGATAGCAGCCCTGGGAGCCTGGGGCCTCCCACTTGAAATGGGAGACTCTAGGCCTGTCCGGAGAGGAGGGGCCAGGGATACCTGGACAGGTAGACCCCACCCAACATCACTGTTTAGTTCTATGGAAACCCATTAGATGAAGCCAGGTCGGGGCAGGCACAGGGAGATGGTTTCCCTAGGAAGGAGCTATAAACCAGAGGGCTGCTCCCAGGGGTCCCAAGAGGGGCCTGTAAAGGCTTAAGTGAGGAGGAGGAAGAGAGAAGATGAGGCTTCATCTGGCACCCATCAGTGCGGGAGGGAGGCTGAGCCTGGCTCGAGGGTTCATGTCAGATCAGACTGGGCCAGGTGGGTGGGGTGGCAGGAGGTGATGGATGGTGAGTGATGGGGGAGGCAGCGAGTGGTGGGTGACGGCAGGTAGCGTGTGATGTTGGGGGGGGCTGTGGGCAACAGCATCCGTGGCTGGAGCTGGGGTGACCCTGGTCCCTGCTCTCCCTTCCCCCTGCAGAAGGCCCTGGAGGTCGGGGTGTGCCTGATGGTGGACGCAGAGCAGACATACTTCCAGCCAGCCATCAGCCGTCTCACCCTGGAGATGCAGCGCAAATTTAACACTCAGAAGCCAGTGATCTTCAATACGTACCAGTGCTACTTGAAGGTAGGACCTCCAGGCTGGCCGGGGCAAGGCCAGCTTGGAGGGCCAGCAGGCAGGCGTCTGCCCTGGGAGCCCCAAGGCGGGGGCCAGGGCCTGGTGGGGAGCTCTGAGTGGCTGGGAGTCAGACCCTACCTGGGTGACCTTGGGCAAAGTTCCTTCCTCTCCATGGGCCTCAGTTTCCTTACTTGTAAAATGAAAGGGTTGGGCTGGACAGCCTCTTTGGTCCTGCCTGGCCCTGCTTGTGTGGCAGGCTGTAGAGGCACTTTTAGGCACCCGCGCCCAACCATGCCCCAACTCAAAAATGAGGCTGGAGAGAGTCTCACCTGGGCTTTGGGCCTCGAGCCGATGCCACTTCTGTGATGTCCCCTCCCTCCACGGCCTCTGCCCGTAGTCCAGGTCCTCGTTACCTCTCCCCGGTCCCTTGCCCTCCTAGTCAGGTCCAGCCACACACACCTGCTCCAAAGCCTGCCTCCTTAATGTCTAAAGACCTCACAAATTCCTGTTGATGGAGTTATTGTGGTGTTTCTGTTGATTAAGGAAATCCATGATTGCCATGAATTCAGGAACACCACTAAATCCAGCCATAAACATTTATTAAGTACCTACTGTGTACCAGGAACTGTGCTGGGGATACAAGAACCAGCGAGCCAGACCACCCCGCCCTCAAGAGCCCATTCTCCCTGGGGATGCCCCACAGAAGGGAGTGAGGAGGGGGAAGAGCGGGGAGGGGGCTCAGGCCCATCAGGAGGAAGGGAGGAGGGGGCCAGGGGAGGCCAGAGCTCAGGCCTTCAGGTCTAGAGCCAGCCAGGGTGAGGGGCCCACCCAAGGCCAGCGTCCCAGGGCCGGGAATCCCGAGACCAGTATGGGAGGAGGAAGGCAGAGGCAGAGGAGGCCCAGGGAAGGCAGATGGTGGGAGGAGGGCACAGGGTGGTACAGGGATAGCGGGGTGCTGGCGGAGGCCTTCCCTCCTTCCCACTGGCCTTTCCAGCTGTGCTTACTCTCTTCCCTTCACACACACACACACACACACACACACACACACACTCTCATTCTAACATGTACACACACACATTCTCACACATACACATCTTCATACTTATACACACACATTTTCACATACATTCATTCTCACCCATATACACACTCTCAATACACATTCACATACACACGTTTATTCTCACACATACACTCATTCTCACACGTACACACACATTCTCATACACAGTCATTCCCATACATATGCACACATTCACACACATTTTTACACACACTCATTCTCACATGTATACACATTCTCATTCTCATACATACACACATTCACACACATTTTCACACACTCATTCTCACATGTACACACATTCTCATTCTCATACATACACACATTCACACACACATTTTCACACACTCATTCTCACACATGTACATACACATTCTCATTCTCACATGTACACACACATTCTCATACACAGTCATTCCCATACATATGCACACATTCACACACATTTTTACACACACTCATTCTCACATGTATACACATTCTCATTCTCATACATACACATATTCACACACACATTTTCACACACTCATTCTCACATGTACACACATTCTCATTCTCATACATACACACATTCACACACACATTTTCACACACTCATTCTCACACATGTACACACACATTCTCATTCTCACATGTACACACACATTCTCATACACAGTCATTCCCATACGTATGCACACATTCACACACATTTTTACACACACTCATTCTCACATGTACACACATTCTCATTCTCATACATAC